AGGAACTCGTGTGGCGGGGCCACCACGTCCAGCGGCCTCGGGTCGTCTCAGGAGTTTAGCTCAGGCTACAGCAGTGCCTACTTGCCATCGGGCTACTGCAGCCAGCCCACCACAGCACTTCCCCCCCCGCACCCCTCCAGCCTGCACGGCTCCGGACTCCTGCAGCCCGCGCACCCCCCCGCCGCACTGGTCTCCAGCTACAGCTCCTCTGGCCCCATGTACAACTATGCCTCGGGCAGCTACGCGCCGCAGCCTGGCTACGGGGGCATCCACCCCCCGCACCCCTCCGCCTCGTACCTGCCCTCAGGCATTGCTGCTCCCACGCCCATCCCGCCTCCTCCGCCGTCCTCCCGGCCCCCCGTGGTGCCAGCCTACAGCTACCAGAGCTCCAGCCTGGCCCCGCTGGCAGTGCCGCCTCCGCTGGGCAGCGATTCTGGGGGCTCTCTGAAACGAAAGGCCTTCGACATCGCCGGCGGGGAGGAGGAGGGTGAAGGCAGGTACAGGAAATACAGCTACGAGCAACCAAAGTCCACCCCCCAGTCCCCCTACCCCATGTCCGACAACGGCGAATGTAGAGGCAATGGCTTCCGCCGGAGCACTGAGACGCCCCAGGTGCCCTTCAAGGCTGGGAAGAGGCCGGCGGGAGCGGCGACGACCGTGGCCTCGGAGGAGCACGCGGAGAAGTACAACAGCCAGCCCATGAAGGGCCTGGTCTCGCCCCCGTACAGCGCCGGGGAGGCCCCGCTGCGCTCCGGCGAGAGCTTCGACAAGTTCACGCCTCCCCTTGCCAACGGCGAAGGCGAGCAGGGCCATGCCTTCACCCTCCGCATGCAGGCCAAGCCCCAGCCCTGCGGGAGCCAGCCCGGGGAGGAGCAGCCGAAAAACACGGACCCTCTGATGCTGGAGCTGGTGAACAGCAAGATCGTGGACTGCGGCGCCCCCGTCCAGTGGACAGACATCGCCGGGCAGGTCTCCATCAAGGCGGCCATCGAGGAGGAGCTGGTGTGGCCCATCCTGAGGCCTGGGGCTTTCACGGGGTCGAGCCGGCCACCCAGGACCATCCTGCTGTTCGGGCCCCGGGGGGCAGGGAAGACCCTGCTGAGCAGATGCATCTCCACCCAGCTGGGCTCCACCTTCCTGAAGCTCAGCGGGCCGGCGCTGCTGTCCAAGTGGAAGGGCGAGGCCGAGAAGGTCCTGCAGACGGTGTTTTTCGTGGCCAGCTGCCGCCAGCCGTCGGTGGTGCTCATCACCGAGGTCGAGTCCCTCCTCCCGGCCCGGGCCGGCGAAGACGCCGCCCAGACGAGCCACCTCAAGTCTCAGCTGCTCTCCTACCTGGACAACGTCGCTACCTCGGCCGAGCAGAACGTCGTCGTCATCGGCACGACCGCCCGGCCCAGCACCATGGACGAGGCCTCCCACCGGCGGTTCGCCAAGCGGTTCTACATCTCCCCGCCCGACAGCATCGCGCGGCGCCAGATCCTGCACCACACCCTGGCCCAGCAGAACTACTGCCTCAGCGAGAGGGAGATGGCCTCCCTGGTGCAGCACACGGAGAGCTACTCGGGCAGCGAGCTGATCCAGCTGTGCCAGCAGGCGGGGGCCACCCAGCTGCAGGGCCTGCCGGGCCAGCTGCAGCCCACCTCTTACAAGGACTTTGAGAACGCCTTCTGCAAGGTCCGCCCCGCCATCTCCCAGAAGGAGCTGGACGTGTACGCGGAGTGGGATAAAATGTACGGGTCCAGACACTGACGGTGCACGGAGGCATCGGAGAGGGGCCGGCCGGGGGAGCCGAGCCCTCAGCCCCACCTGAGACTCCAGCGGCGTCTTCTCGCCGTTGGCGTTGCTTTTATTCTGGCTCAACCTCGGAGAGGAAGGTTTTGGGCTCTCTCTTCATTTCCCGCGACGATCCGCTGCCCTGGAGTCTCTGCCCCGGCCCCAGCATTTCAGCTCCGCAACGCTTTGCCCTCGTCTTTTCCAAGCCGATCAGCAGGTGAAATGCAAAAGCCTCCCCCCGAAATCCCACCTACAACCAATGCATACCCTTTTTTTTTTTTTAATTATTATTATTATTATTATTTCAGAGTGGACTGGGTTTTTTTGTTGTTTTTGAAAGTAGTCGTTCACTGAACTCAGGATAATCTATTTATTATTCGTCTACTTTCCCGTTCTTCGGTTTCTAGACCAGCCATGGAAAGAAAGCAGCCAGGCAGAGGCGCTTGCGGTCCGAGCTCTGTGCTGGTGGAGCGGCTCTCCCACCTGTTTATGGAGACCCGCTTTTTTTTCTTTTTTGGTCTTTTTTTCAGCCGTCATGTAACTAAACCAGCTCTTTTTGGATGTGGCCCTCCAGGCAGCTTGCTGTACTGCGGTGCCCATGCCTTGGACTCATTCCCAAGAAGATCTTGATAGCCTTTCAAGCCATCATCAGGAATTTATTATTAGGAATAAATGGCAGGGGAGAGGGTAGGAGGGAGGGGAAAACACAAAACTGAAGGGTTTTGGAGTAAAAAAAAAAATGTAGATTGTTTAATATACTAGACCTCATTTTTATTTTTGTAATGTATGTAGTATTTTTTTGTTTTTTCTTTTTTAACTACTCAGGAAAAATTTTACCTCAGACAAAAAAAAAAAAAAAAAAGAATGTGTTTTTAAAAACTTTTTATCGTCTCCAGAAAAAGAAAGAAAGAAAAAAACCCAGATCTTAAAGAGTTTGCAAACTCAGTGCAAGGCCACGCTGGGCGTTTGCTTCCAAAAAAGGATGACCGAAAGAAAGAAGAAAAAAAAAAAACTTGAAGTTGTTACAAAGATGAAAGTTGAATGTATTTCAGGTGCTTTTCACGATATATTATGCCATAATTTTATTTTATTTTTTTTTAAACATTGTTATTGTAGTGTTTGGTGGAGTAACGTGTCTTCAAAGGAAAAGAGTATTAGTGCCGTAGTTTGAAAACTGTCCCTAGCACCACTTTTTGGACAAATCTGGTGGTAACATCCTCAGCTCAGTTCGTCAGAGCCGGCTTCCCGCTGCATTCTCCACTTCGCTTCTCCTCGGCTTTAAGTCCTGTTAACCCGTGGAGAAGGCCGAGCCGTGCCGCGACCGCGCTGGGCTGCGGGCAGGGAAAGCCCTGGGCTAGCACCGCTCTCTAGCCTGGGCACTGACCCTGCAAAACCGTATGCGCCGTGCGCTCGAGGCTGCCTCTCCACAGCAAAAGTTGCACTGGTTTAACCGGAAGAGAGCCTCAAAACGGGTGGGATCCCTGCAGGGCGCTCCCTGTCCTGGGTATCCCGGGCAGGTCTCCCTGCTGCCAAAATCCGGCGGCTCTTGAAACAAGATCAACCTTTGAAGCGGTTGGACTCGGCAGCACAAAATAACCCCTTAGCTCAAGCAGGTGCAGCTTCTAGGAGAAGGGCCTCCCGCCCCGAAGCCCTTGGACACCCGCAAGGGAAGCCCTGGCCCGAGTCCCAGCGGGGGCTGAGGCTGCCCTAAAGGCAAAGCGCGTGCAAGGGACGTCTGCGCTTGCAAGGCGCGCCTTTCATATAGTGCCCCAGCCCCGCTGTCTCGGCTTCCTTTGGCTTTTGAGGGGAGGCCCCTCCAAACCGGGCAGTAAAAATGGGTCGAGGCCCCTTTTTGCCTAAACGGGAAGCATCCCAGTCACTGTGACGAGTTGTGCGTCAGGCCTTATGGCAGGGAGGGCACCCAGGGCTCGGCTGCTTTTACAGCAGGGAAGACTCCTGCCTGCTTTTTGCCTCCGTGCAGCCGGGGTCGAGTTGCTAGAACCAAAGTGACCCAGAGATTTTAGGAGACCAGCACTGTGCTCTTGAGATGCTTTCCCTCGCCTTGCAGTTGCTTTGACGAGCTCTACGCGTCCTCTGCAGGGGACGCTGCGGCCAGGCTCGTTTGAACCGGCTCCGGTTTGCCCCTCGTTAGCGTGCGCGCGTGTGCATGCCTGCGGGTCGCTTGTTCGAACTCTCTCCGCATTCACTTGATACCGCCGCGAGCGCCTGGATAGGAAGCTGGCTCTCGGGAACTGTTAAAACCGTACCTCTTTGGGCTCCTCCTCGTCCCGCCTGCCTCCAAAAAGTGGTACTGGATGTCTGAAGACTCTTTTTATTATTATCATATTTGACTTTGTACATCCTCTGTAACCATTTCTACCTCATTTTGCAACATATTGTACATGAAAGTATTTAATTCATGTCTTATTAATGTCTGAAAAAAAAATGCTTTTGAGCTGTAATGGTCTACCTCAAGAAATACTGTATTTTAAAAAAGAAAAGTATTACACAGTATTAAAGAGATTACATGAAAACACCGGCTGCAGAAGTGCGCGCTTCCTTTTGCAGGGCTTTTCTGGGGGGGATTTGGGATCCGTGGCCGGCAGCACCCTCGAGGCGCGTGTCCCGTGGTGCGCTCGTACAGCTGCTCGGGGGTCTCGCGCTCGTGCTGGGTGCCACAGCTGGGCGCCGTGCGGTTGCTCGCATCCCGCAGTCCGGGTGCTAGCGCTCCAGGATGCGCGCCCCAGAGGAGCAGCTTTTGGAGGCATGAGGCCGGCTGCCTACACCGGGGACGCCCGGGCTGCCTTGAGACGACAGGAGAGCGCGCTGCCGAGCACGCAGCACTTCAGGCCTCCGTGGCAGCGTGGCTGCTCTTTCTCTCCTCCCACATCCAGGGGGGCAGCCGCACGCGCACACTTGCTGCAACAAGGCTCCTAGGCCGTGGGTCGTTTCCCCCCGTGCTGGGGTGCGGAGCTGCTTCAGGAATTGGCCGCCACGCCCAGGAAAGCCAGGGGATTTTACCGGGGGTTTTGGCTCTGGGGGATTCATGGTGGGGAAAGCGGGGGGCACTTGGGGAAGGGTAAAGTCTCCCTCCAGCTGCAGTAGAGGGGGGTGGCAAAAGGGGCCTTTCTAGTGTTTTCAGAGAGGGTCTAAGGAGGGAGCAACCTGCCAAGGGAGAGCTGATGGGCATGGTATCGAGAGCCAGGGTGCAACAACACCAAGGTGTTTAACCAAGGGGGAAGGATGTAGCTGTAAATCTGGAAGGACTGAAGGAGCGTGGCTTTCTCGTGATGCTCCAAGGCCCCTAGACCATGGCAGTTTGCTCTCACGGCCCTGGGGAGGGTTCAACGCTAGAGGAATCCCTGCATCCTCATGCCTCCGCTGCTAGTGCCACCGAGGACGCTGTCGCTTGGCCGGGCAATGATGCACACACTGACTGACTGCTTTATCGATGGAGATGCGGTCGTGTTCGGCCCGGTTCCCAGCACTGCTTGGACACTGGAGTGCGCCCGCTGCAGGGAACGTCAGCCAAAGGCCAGGATCGTGCTTCTCGCGTGAAAACGGGAAAGCCAAAGCGCTGCTCAACCCTCCCAGTCCACCGCGAACTGTTTTGTGAGGCCCGTGGTGTAACACAAGGGTTTCTCCTGCGCGCTCGGGCACCCCAGCATTGCGATGGGGATTGTTTGTACCTTGAAGCCGTCCCGATGTTCTCGTAGGAAGACCGGGAACGAATGCTCCTCGCCTGCCGTGTGTTTGCTTTCTTGAGGGTCGTGCTCTTTTAAAAAGCGTTGCTGGTCTGTGGAAGGATCACCTGCAATTTTAGGAGCACCGTGTGCTTGAACGAAAGACCTCGCAACCATTTGCTCAAAGACGGGGAGCTGTGTAGGGTAGCACGGAGTCGTTTCAAATTTGCCATGCGAGTCATTTCAAGCATTTGCCGTGTTGTTCACTTGGCTGTCGTGGCTGTGGAAAGGTGGCGTTCAGACTCCGAACGTCGATGGCCCTGAAGCCCAGCGGCCATTCGCGTCTGGTCACAAATCCTTGGGAGCCCGGGTGACAAGATGCTCGTGATTCCTGGTTGAACTCTGCCCTGCCGTGATGGCCTTCAGTGCTCTTCTGCTTCTCCGTCTCCTGCCACTTTCCCCCCCCTGGACGCCGTCCCTGTGCTCACGCCGCACAGGGGAGGGTTCAGAGGTGGCGGCAGCCCTGCACGCTCATGCCTCTGCTGTCAGAAATGAATGCGCACCCTCGCGAGGCTGGAAGGAGGGTCTATAAATCTGCCAGCACGTCTGGATCAGGGGCACCGAGGACAGCAAGGCCCTGAGCTATTGCAAACCAGAAACATTTTGCTGGCATGGGACGATGCAGCCGGAGCGCTGCCCTGCGGTGGGGCCCAACGAATGCCAGATGTCGAAGGGGAGCTGCTCCAAGCAGAGCTGCGTGTTGAAGGGCTCTTTCTCCTGGGTTGCTCAGGCTGCAGTCCTGCAAGCAGCCAGGGGCTAGTCTTGATGTGCGGAGGGAGCCGGGATAGCGCAGAGCAGTGTTTTGAGCTCACCAAACCGTTCTGGCCGACCTTTTCAAAAAGAAGAACGAGCATCGGGTGCATCCCACAGCATTCAGCGGCTGTGGTTCTGTCTCCGCCACGCAAGCACCACGGCGTGTCTCTTCCTGCTTTCCCATTCGAAACGGCACGAGCTGAAGGTTTGCAAGGCAGCCCGATTCGTACCAGCACCGCCAGTATTTACGATGCCCATTAGAATGCCATAATGGGACCCGAGAAGGCAAAGGTGGGGAAGCGGGGGAGGCTCTGGAAACTTTATGGGTTTCCCATCAAATTAGCATTAACGGACTTGGAACGGATGTCGTCCTTTGACAGCCATATTAATGGAGATATTACACTAATGAAAGTCAGGCCTTGGCACCTCGGGACACGGACAGGGTGAGCAGAGCGGCTGCGCCACTGCAAAACTCCTCCTGCACCTTGTTCGCTGCAGGCAGGAGCCTGCATCTGTCGTCCCGCGCGCTGACATCTCGCCCCTCCGTCCTCTGCCCTCTAAATGGGGTACTTGAGCAGTGATGGACCCAAGGGGCAGAGGCTGCAGGGACCCCCCTGGGTGAGCAGCAAGGGTTGATTCAGGGCCTTTTGTGCCCCATACAGACCCCTTGAAGCCAAGTACTAAGCCTGTCAGCAGCATCCTGCATCTCTGCCGTGTGACCTGGCACCTGGTCCGGTGCAGAGCCCACACGCTGCTCAGAGCAGGCTGTAAATGCAGGCTCGTTCCCTCTCTAGCGGGCTTGCGAGTTGCTCAGCCTCACATCTTCATCCTGTATAAACGGGTCCTTACTCCCAGCCCCTGAATGCAGACAGGCACGCTGGGTTAGGACAGGGCAAAGACTGGGTCGTTCACGTGTGCAGGGTGCTGCACAGCTGCGGCAATGGGCGACAGGGTGCACCTGAAGCTCGTTTTTCTTCTTGAAAAGGTCAGCAAGGATGGTTTGGTGAGCTCAAAACACTTTCCTGCTCCTGTGCAAACATGCAGCCGTTCCCACCTGCATCAAGTGGGACCTGGCTTCAAGACAGCCCAATGCAGCTGCAGCCCTGGTCTAGCTCCATGCCCTTCCCCTTTGGGGCCGGAGCGATACAGTCGCTCCCTCCTGCCTGCCCCTCTGGCCAGAGCGAAGGGCCGGGAGCCAGTGTTGGATTTCAAGGGTCTTCCCTGCTCAGCCTCAACCCGGCCTGTTTGTTTTTGTTGCAGAGCCAGGCAGTAGCGAAGGCTGGTTTTCCTGCTGGACCCAATCCTGCATGCGGGGACAGGGCCCAGCAGGATAACGGGAAAGTGTGTCCTGGCCGCATGCACAGGGCATCCTCGTGCATCAGACAGCAGGGACGTGGCAGCCAGCTCTTCCCACCCGGCCGCAGGGACATGATGCCACATTGCATGAGCGAGCACTGCCCTCCAAGCTGCCTGGGTGCCAGGAAAGGTGTGTGCAACCCCTCCCAGTGCTGCCCCTGCCATGGCACGTGCCTCCCTGGTGTCCCACTGCCTGGGCCCAGCCTGCCACGGGGACCTGCTCGGGTTTTCAGGCTCGTGCTCTGCTCTGTCCACGTGCCCCTGGGCTGAGTGGAGCCGTCCCCGCGCGTCCTGCGTCAGGCTTGGCCTCTCGGAGCAAGGGGCAGCTGCGGTGGGAACAGGAGCATCAGCATTTCTTGCCGCTGGGTTTGAAGCTGCCGGTAAACAAAAGGCCAAGCCTGAGACACGACACATTGCGTGGAAGAGGCCATCTCGTGGCCCCGCTCTGCAACAGGCACGCCCAGCACCGAAGCACCGTTCAGCACTGGGCCCCGGTGTGCATTCGTGTAAAAGCACAGTAGCAATTGTGAGACACGGGTGCCAATCGCGTGGTCTGACCTGAGACCGGCACCTGCCTTCTTCATGGCTATGAAGTGCTGCAGGACTAAAGCCCTGGCCAGGACCTGGCACTTAGCACCCACGCCTGCCCGGGGAGCCCAGAGCAGTAGCAGGAGGGGATCTGTTGGCCTTGTGGCTTTGTGCATGGATGCCGAGGCCTTGAACACCTAGTCCTCAGGTCTGGATTTGACCTGCCCAGGGAATGAGTTTGACGTGCGTGTCGCGGAGCAGAGTAAGGGCACAGACACGCTAGTCTCCAGTGCGAGCACGCGGCAGAGAGGACTGCAGCCTGAGCGCAAGGGGCGCTGGTCTGTCTGAAGACGGGATGCACGGCGAGGCAGGGGCTTCCTTAGCGGATAGGAAATATTGAGAGAATCGTTAGTGGAAAAATCAGCGCTTACTGGTTTGCGTGGATGGTGCCTGGAGAGGTCCCAGGCCCAGGGGCAGGTGCCAGTCGAGCCACGCAGCTGCGATCCTGTTGTGAGCACCCCCTACGTCACAGGGGCATTGCGAAGCCGCGGGACTGTGCACGGTGCATTGCAGCCAGCTCCGGGGCCTGGCCCGCTGCATGTGCTCTGGTCGGCTCCAGGATTTTCATCTGCAGCTGGGTTTTTAGCCCCCGTCTCTCTGCAATGTGCCGACCAGCAG